CACATGCTCTCTCTAAATAGCCAGCTTGGGCTTCTTGGCACGGCAGCTGGGTCCCAGAAGTGAGTGTTTTAGGAGGACCAGCCCCATCGTGCAAGCACTCACCAAGCCTCTGCTTACATTACGCCTTCAATTGTCCCACTGGCCAAAGCCAATCACATAGCCAAGCCCAGCATCACTGTGGGGGTGACGATACAAGAATGTGATACCTGGGGTCAGGGGCCTTGGTGGCCACCAACCAGCCGGTTGTGGGTCACATCCCTGTCCCTGAGCTAATCATCGAGGTCAGGCAGAAGAGTACTACGACTGGCCCAGCCTCAATCATGCGTCCCCTTATATCTGGGGGGCAGGGGAATTGGCAGGTTCTACCTTAACTGGTTGGGATGGGGAAGAACGATTCCTCAAAAGAAAGCAGGTGATGTTTAGAGCAGACAAAACAATAAACACCTGCTTCCCCAGGGGCCAGGTGTCTTCACAATTCTGAGCACAACTCAGCCAGAGCCAACCTGCCTTGTGCTTGTGTCTCCCCCTCCCCACCACCCGTGGGATCTGTTCGCAGGGGGTAGTCCCCAGCACTTGTCCTGACCTGAATATGTTTCTATTTCCTGCCTTCTTCACAGACCCTGAAGCAGGTGACAGGAGTCCCTACAACATGTCCTGTCCTTCACCGGGAAGGCATCTGACTAGCATGCCTGCTCAAAAGTCCTCCACCTCGCAGAATCCGCATAGAGTCCTTGGCTACACTAGCAGAGTCTGGAAATGATTGCCCATGCTCGAGGAGCGGCTGGCATTGTGAAACTGCTCAGGGACAGAGTGAAGCACTCATTTCCGGTGTTCTGTTGACCTGCAGCCACAGTGTCCCCTCTGGGCCCCCACCACATGCTATGTCTTCCTCTATTCGCACCTTCTCACAGCTTATCCTCTAGTTTCTCTACTTGTCTTCCTCACCAGACTGAGCTCCTTGAAGGCAGAGACTGGCTTTCGCCGCGATTTCCCAGCACTTAGCTGGACCTGGCACACAGCGGATGCTCAGTGCATGTTCAGTGAATGGGTGAACAAGCTGATGACTTCTAAACCTTTATCTCCGGCCCCAGGGTCCCTCTTCTAAGTTCTCCAACCGTCTGCCTGACACTGTCACATGCACATCCCATGGTCACCTCAGACTCATCATGTTCAACCCTGAGCCCCTCAACTCCACCCTGGCCCGACCACTCCGCTCACTTGTTCACTCCCAGTGAAGGCCAGAAATCTGGAACCATTCCTCAGGTCCACAGGCTCCAGAATCCCCTCCCCCTTTCTACTCTTTCCCTGCATTTGTTCATGTTCATCATTGCCTTTTTAAAAAATTGAGGTGAAATACACATAACATAAAATTAACTGTTTGAAAGTGAACAATGTATTGGCAATTTTGGCAATTTGTGCATTCACAATGTCGGACCATCACCACTTCCAAAACATTTCAGCACTCCAAAAGGAAACCTTGTACCCATCCAGCAGTTGTACCCCACTCACCTCTCTCCCCAGCCCCAGCAACCACCAATCTCAGTTCTCTCTCTTCGGATTTACCTTTTCTGGGTATTTCATACAAATGAAATCATATGTTATTTTTTGAGTCTGGCTTCTTGCACTTAACATAATGTGTTTGCTTGTTTGTTTGTTTGTTTTTTGAGACAGTCTTGCTCTAGTTGCCCAGGCTGGAGTGCAGTGATGTGATCTCAGCTCACTGCAACCTCCACCTCCCAAGTTCAAGCAATTGTCCTACCTCAGCCTCCCGAGTAGCTGGGACTATAGGCGTGTGCCACCATGCCTGGCTAATGTTTGTATTTTTAGTAGAGACACAGTTTCACTGTGTTGGCCAGGCTGGTCCCACACTCATGACCTCAGGTGATCTGCCTGCCTCGGCCTCCCAAAGTGCTGGGATTACAGGCATGAACCACCGCACCTGGCCTTAACATAACGTTTCTGAAGTTCATCCACATTATTAAAGTATGTGTAAGTATATGCTATAAGATTTATAGCATGCATATGTACTTCACGCCTTTCTATGAATAATATTCCATTGTATGGATAAACCACATCTTGCTTATCCCTTCGTCCAGTGATAAATATCTGGGCTGTTTCCACCTTTTGGCTGTTGTGAATAGTGCTGCTGTGAACATGCATGTGCGTGTATTTGCTGGAGTGCCAGTTTTCAGTTCTTTGGGTGTAGACTTAGAGTGGGGTCGCTCGTCAGTGCCTTTTGCGTTGTCTATTGCAGTCGCCCCCAAACCGGCCTCCTAGAGCCAGTCCACTCTGTCCTCCATACGGTTGCAAGAGTGTTCACCATCTTCCTTTCTTTTTCAAAAAATACAATTTTATTTCTTATTGTAAAATCTATTGTCAATTGTTTTGTGCAAAAAAGAGTTGCTTTATTTTTAATCTGGGGAGATGTAAATGCCAGGCTGATCGTGTGTCTCCCCTGTGTTTTGGATGAAGTCCGGAGCGTCCTGGCACCCACGTGCCTCTTTAACCATCTCTTCTGATGCTCTTCCTCACTGCCTCCCCATGCCTGTTCCCCTGCAACTACAGTTATTATTATTATTATTATTATTATTATTATTATTGTTATTTTTGAGACGGAGTCTCACTCTGTTGCCCAGGCTGGAGTGCAGTGGCACCATATTGGCTGACTGCAATCTCTGCCTCCCGAATTCAAGCAATTTTCCTTCCTCAGCCTCCCGAGTAGCTGGGATTACAGGTGTGCACCACCATGCTCAGCTCATTTTTGTATTTTTAGTAGAGACAGGCCACCATGTTGGCCAGGCTGGTCTTGAACTCCTGACCTCAAATGATCTGCCCACCTTGGCCTCCCAAAGTGCTGCGATTACAGGTGTGAGCCACCACACCTGGCCTGCAACTACAGTTATGCACTCCTCCAGCCTCTGAGTCACTGGAGCTGCTATTCCTCTGTGGGACTGCCCTTCCTGCCCTTCCAGTCTGATCTATCCCACTTACCTTCTCTGACTCAGCTCTCCTTGTCACTGTTCCCCCCAGCAGGTCACACATACGTGAAAGTGGCCAGGATCACTGTGTCCAGGACAGAAGGAAAAGGAAGACCCACACAGGATGCAGTTAGGTCTCACTGATTGACCATAAGCAGCACTGGTTTTACCTCTCACTTTTTGCAGTCTCAGATAGTCCCCACAGTGTCTAAGCTAAACAGGGAACCACCAACCCACCCAAGCTCCGTCATTAGGAGTTGGCATCTTGCTGCATTCCCTTGTTGTGACGGCTGGCAGTGAGGCTTGTGAACAAATGGGCAACCCAGAAGGAGCTTTCTCTTCCTTTTTCCTTCCTCCAGGCTTCTTCTTTCTACTCGGGCAGCCAGATGCTTTAGAGCTTAATTACACCCTACAGTTGGAAGCGCAGAATGTCAGAGCTGTAAAGGAAGGGCCTTATTATAAATAATAGCTGCTAGCATTTATTGAGCACTTACTCTGTGCCAGGCACTGCGCCAGGCCCGTTTCCAGGCAGTACCTTGTTTAACCTTCCCAACAATTCTAGGAGGCAGTTACCATCATCATCCCTGGTCTATAGGGAAGGAAACTGAGGCTGGGGGAAGCTTCAGGGCATTTCCCAAACTGTGCTAAATGGTACATAGTGTCACAAAATATTAGTCGGGGTTGGCAAAAAAGGATTCCATTGACAAATGCTGAATCCCACATCCCCCCTCACCCCACCCCTGGGGAAATTCACAATGTACATCCACATACTAAAGGTCCTGAGAAGTCCTACAGCAATGAAACCTGTTTAGGTCAATGTCTCTTCTGTTGCAGACCTCACAGAACTATTTATCCAAAGAGCACACTTTGGAGAACATTGGTATTGACCAACTTTCTCATTTTACAGATGGGATACCAGAGGCCCAGGCAGTACTTTTGGGGTAGACAAGGCACAGACCTTCGGCTCCTCACTGTCTTCAAGCTCACAAGAAGCATAGAGGGGAAGAAGACAGACAAGGGCCCATCTGGCCTACTACCTGTTTTTGTAAATAAAGCTTTTTTGAAGGTGTTCTGATTAGGCTCCCATAGTTAATGGATGAGCCAGTGGAAGCCCAGAAAGCATGGTTGTCTTGTCCAATGTCACACAGCCAATTAGGAGCAGAGGCAGAAGTAGATCATAGATGTCCAAAATCCAGGTATTCTGTTGGGATGTGAGCTCCATGTCACCTGGGATACCTGTCTCACTCTCCACTGTATAGAACTTACCCAGGCACTGTTCCCTTTCTGCTACTGCGTAGACACCCAACCTGCAAGGCATTTCTTTAAATTTTCTTTTTTCTTTTTTTTTTTTTTTTTGATGGAGTCTTGCGTTGTCTCCCAGGCTGGAGCGCAGTGGTGCGATCTCAGCTCACTGCAACCTCCGCCTCCCAGGTTCAAGCAATTCTCTTGCCTCAGCCTCCTGAGTAGCTGAGATTACAAGGCGTGCACCACCACGCACAGCTAATTTTTGTATTTTTAGTAGAGACAGGATTTCACAATGTTGGTCAGGCTGGTCTCAAACTCCTGACCTTTTGATCCACCCGCCTCAGCCTCCCAAAGTGCTGGGATTACAGGCATGGTTGGCCTGAACTGCCTGGGTACTCCCCTCTGCCTTCAACCTCTGTAGGTAAACTGAGCAGGGGCCAACCTTGAAGTCTCTTAGGGGTCAAAGGTTGAACAGGACAATCCATGTTTATTTTAATTCTGTACCAGATGCAGTAAAACATAATTAACTTTCCCTCTGCCAATTTGAAACGTGAGATCATTTGGACAGGAACTGGGCAAACGGGCAGAAGGCAACCTTTGCCCGTTCCAGGAAGAGTGTGCCAAACAAATGAAGAGTGTAAACAGGGTCCTGGGGGGTTGTTTAAAACCAATTCAGAAAATAAATGATGTCCAAAGGCTCTTGGGCCTCCCTGGTACAGTGGTCATCTATTTACATTTTTCTGAAGGCATCTGGGTGGTTTACAGTTGAATATGCAAATCAAATCATTCTTACCTCTTCATTAAAATGGCTCCTACGAAGAACACTTGTTGACAAATGTGAACAATTTAAAATCTCTGCAGATTTAAGCATTTTCCTTCTGGCGGGTCCATCCAGCAAGTGATACTAATTAGGAGCTTTTATTAACCTTGAGATCTGGAGGAGGGGGGCTTCTGACTGACTCTGGATGGCTCAGGCATGCCAGAGGGCTAAAGGTTCATCTAGAAACAGCTGCAGAGACAGCAGAGCATAAAGCTCCGGGTGGCAGCTCTTCCTGGGGCAGCCGGACTGCCCAGATGGCCCTTCCAGAGCTGGGAAATGCAGACTTGTCCCTGAGGTGGAAGGTAAAAATAGTCCCGTGTGGGTGGTGGCTGGGCCCAGAGGCACTGGCTTCCTTTTCTCTAGAGCAGGGGGAGGCAGTCAGTTGACAGACTCGCCCTTAGGCTCCTGAGCCCCTCTAAGCCCAGGCTCGGGGGAGTCTCTCCCCAACAATGAAGCAGCCCCACCCCCACCCCCACCCCCAACACATACACATATGGAAGTGCTGGAAAGAGTTTGAGCTTAGTTGTAAGGTAACTAAGGATTTAAACCCTGGCTGTGCTATTACCAGCCCCGTGACCTGGGACAAGATCCTTCTCCTTTCCAGGCCTCTGTTTTCTCATCTGTCGACTTGTTTCTTTCTACAAGTCTTGCTGTGAAGATTAAATAACAATGAGAGCCGACACGTTTCACTCTGTAACCTCACTCTTCTGTCCCTCTCCCTTCCATCCAGGTCCTCGCCTTCTAGCACATTCTTCAAGAGTGACTCTGAGGCAAGCCAGCCGCCATGTCATGAGGACACTCAAGCAGCCCCATGGAGAGGTCCGATGGCGAGGAACAGAGGATCCCCCTGCCGATAGCCAATGAGGAACAGAGGCCTCCCAACAGCCATGTAAGGGGTCACCTTGGAAGCCAATGGCCCCTCCCTACTCAGGCTTTTACATGACCGAGGTCCTGGCCAACGCCCTGACGGCAACCTCATGAGAGACCATGAGCCAGAGCCGCCCACCTAAGCTGCTTCTAGGTTCCTGACCCTCAGAATCCATGTGAGATCATAAATGTTTGCTCAATTTGAGATATTTGTGATGCAGCAATAAATAACAAATACACTTACCTTTCAAGGTTATTATAAGAATTAAGAGTTAATACACATCAAACTACAACCAAACTTGCTGGGACCAGAGGCTCAAGAAAGGGCAGACAGGGCCGGGGGCAGTGGCTCACGCCTGTAATCCCAACACTTTGGGAGGCTGAGGTGGGAGGATCACCTGAGGTCAGGAGTTCGAGACCAGCTGGCCAACATGGTGAAACCCCATGTCTACTAAAAATACAAAAATTAGCCAGGTGTGGTGGTGGATGCCTGTAATCCCAGCTACTCGGGAGACTGAGGCAGGAGAATCACTTGAACCTGAGAGTTGGAGGCTGAAGTGAGCAGAGATCATGCCACTGCACTCCAGCCTGGGTGACAGAGTGAGACTCCATCTCAAAAAACAAAAAACAAAAAAAAAAAAAAAGAAGAAGAAAGGGCAGGCCGGGCGCGGTGGCTCAAGCCTGTAATCCCAGCACTTTGGGAAGCCGAGACGGGTGGATCACGAGGTCAGGTGATCGAGACCATCCTGGCTAACACGGTGAAACCCCGTCTCTACTAAGAAATACAAAAAACTAGCCGGGCGAGGTGGCGGGCGCCTGTAGTCCCAGCTACCTGGGAGGCTGAGGCCGGAGAATGGCGAAAACCCGGGAGGCGGAGCTTGCAGTGAGCTGAGATCCAGCCACTGCACTCCAGCCTGGGCTACAGAGTGAGACTCCGTCTCAAAAAAAAAAAAAAAAAAAAAAGAAGAAGAAGAAAGGGCAGACAGAAACCACAGAAGGAGGAGTGGTTAGCTGGGTCCAGGCCAGGTGGGGTCCTGCTCCTGACGTGGATGGGTCTGGGAGACCAAATATGCAAATGGACAATGCAGACCACATATGAAAATAGAACTCTGCCCTAAAACCTACAGCAACTGCCCGGGAAGCCAAAGAACAACCCCCGCAGCAATCAGCCCCAAATGGCCAGGACTTGATGGTAACTGACAGCTTCCCTAATTTTGTCCCCACTTCCAATTCAGGACAAACTGGAGAAAGCCAAATATGCTCCCCTAACCAATTACTTAGGGTGCCCCTCTTCTAATGAGCCCAACTGTAACTTTCCTGCACCACCAACAGGACGTACCTGAAGCCTTCCCCTTTTCCACTATAAAGGCTTCCCCCTCTGCCTGCCTTTGAGTCTCCACGAAAAGCAAGTGACAGTGGCTGGCTCCCTTAGTGTAGCAGGCTCTGAATAAATAGCCTTTGCTTGCTGTCATTTGGGTGGTCTTTGTTTATGTCCACAAGCCCAAGGTCTCTCTCTCCCTTCCTGCTCCCAGGTCAAAGACGTCTTTGTCCCTCCCCAGTACCTCCCCCAGGGATGATGGAAGAGAGGGGCACGGGGATAATGAAGAGCGTGGCTTTGGAACAGGACAGATCTGGGCTGAAATTCTGGCTCTGATACTTAACTAGCTGCGTGATCTTGAGTAAGTCAGTTAAACACTCAGTGCCGCTGTTTCCTCATGTCAAGGGGACAGTCCGGCAGAACCCAAAGGCTGGTGTGAGAATTCAGGGAGGTAATGTATTTAATGCCCTGGACATGTAATAGGTGCTTAATAAGGAGAGGTCAGCCATCATGCCAGCCTCTTCACAACTCGCTGGAGTGGGCAGGCCCCCATTCTGCATCCTCACTCAGCCCACCCCTTTCCTTTACATCAGGCAGTCTGACTTCATCTGGATGCAATCAAGGTACGGACTCCAAGTCCAGGGTATAGCAAAAGCCAGGGATTGGTTTCAGACAAAGGATATAACTGAACATTTCTCTACTGGGAAATCCAACTGGGCCAAAGCAGAGGACAGAATGTTCAGGCCAGACACCTGCTGACTCCCTGTTCTGTCCTGGCTTTGAGGGGTGATCAGGGCAGGGAGAGTCTTGCTCAGAAAACTGCGTGCCTTTGCGCCAGGCCAGCTTTCCCAGGACTGAGGAGCATGAGCCAGGTTGTTCCCCAGTCTGGAGTGTCTGTGTGTGCCTCAGTTTCTTCATCTTTAAAGTGATAATTTTGCCAGGCACAGTGGCTTACACCTGTAATCCCAACACTTTGGGAGACTGAGGTGGTAGATCATCTGAGCCCAGGAGTCCGAGGCCATCCTGGGCAACATAGTGAGGCCCTGTCTCAACAAAAAATAAAATAAAAAACTATGGTGGCACATGCCTGTGGGCTCAGCTACTCAGAAAGTTGAGGTAAGGGGATCACTTGAGCCAGGTGATCGGGGCTAAAGTGAGTTGTGATCGTGCCACTGCACTCCAGCCTGGGCAACAGAGCGAGATCCTGTCTCAAAATAAAAAAATAAAATAAAATAATAATTTTAATGACTTACCAGGATATACACACAAATAACGAGTATCAGGATGGGTATGGGTGTCTTAGTCTGCTTTGTGCTGCTATAACAGGATGCTTGTTATAAAGAGGGCAATTTATAAATAGAAATTAATTTCTCACAGTCTAGGGGCTGGTAAGTCCAAGATCAAGTGACCAGCATGTGGTGAGGGCCTTCTTTCTGCATTATAACATGGCAGAAGACATCACATGCCAGAAAGAGAAGAGACAGAAAGAGAACAAGGGCTGGAACTCATCCTTTTATAAAGAACCCACTCCCGAGACAATGGCACTAATCTATTCATGAGGGTGGTGCCCCCTGACCCAAACAATGGCAGCATCACGCCCGCCCCACCTCCCAACACCTCCACATTGGGGATCAAGTTTCCAACAGATAAACTTGGGGAGACATATTCAAACCATAACAGGGAGCAGAGGCTCTGTGATGCCTGTGTGTGGGGGCATCCTGAATCCCTTCACTCCAGTTTGCCAAGCCCTTTCCACCCCCTTGTCTCCCACTTCACTGTCACTACCGGAATTCAAGTCTCCAGGCAGCATCTTTTGCCGCGTTATTGCAATAACAAAGTGTTGTCCTTACTCTTCTGCAACAATCAAAGCATACAAATTAACATACGGGTGGGAAACCACCCCTGCTCCTTCCCTACTCAGGCAAAGACTTAAAATAATGATAACGATGTCGGGGGTGGGGAGCCCCCTTTCGCCACAGAGCATGATTGTACACTAGTATATTTCTGGAGAGCAATTTAGTAGGAAGTACTTTTTGATTCTACAGGTACCATTTTTCAAAATGTCATCTAAATAAAAATCAGTTCTGGCACAAATACTTTGTTACAAGGCTCCTTAGGGTAATATTGTTTCTGATGAAAGAAAAAGAAAAGAAATGAAAAGAAAAGAAAAGAAAGAAGAAAGGAAGGAAGGAAGGGAGGAAGGAGAGAAGGAAAGGGAGAAGGAAAGGGAGAAAGAGGAAGAAGGAAAGAAAAACTCAGACATCCAACAGGAAGCTTGGTTAAATAAATTGTGTAATCCATACCTTAAAATGCCATTCCTTCACTAAAAATGATGTTGTAGATCAGTAGTTTGTGCATCACGTGGGAACTGTTAGAAATGCACATTCTGGGGCCCCTTCCACATCTGATTCAGAAACTCCTGGGGTTGGTGGTCGGGGCGTGGGGAGTGGGGGGCAGGAGGTGGAAGCAATCTGGGTTTTAATAAACCCTCCAAAGCAATTAAGAGCCATAGTTGTAGACGACCATCGCTATGGAAAGTTACACTGTTAAGTGAGGAAAGGTTAGGAGGCAGTAAGCAGGAACAGTGCATCCCCATATCTGTTATCTAGAGAGAGGCACAAATAGAAAAAGTCTGGGAGGAGTTTATACCCAGATGATAACATCGACACTCTCTAGGAAGTAGGATTATAAGGTTTTAGAGTAATTTTGGTAATTCATGTTTTCTAACTAGTCTACAATGACTATGTTTGTGTAAAACGGAAAGGAAAAAAACCCCAGTAATTTATTTTTTAATTAAAAAAAAAAAAAAGTTAAATGGGACCAAGTTGGGGGGGTGTAGGGAAGGAGGCAGAGAGCCCGACTCGCCGCGACAGCTTTCACCCTGGGAAAGCTGGGAGGCAGGACCGCCCAGGAGACCCGGGGCCAGTGGGGTGGGCAGCGCCAGGAGTCCCGGCGACTCCTCTGATGGCTAGCAAGGCTTACAAGGGTTTAAATAATAAGCGAAGAGAGTCAGGGCAGACTTCCGGAATAACTTCACTGCTAAGGGTATCAAATCCTGGAATGGGCACCTTGGAGAGATTTTCTAGACAAGAACGGACAGCGGGTGCCAGGAGGGGGTGGAGTTTCGCCGGCCAGAGGACAGAGGCTGCCGGATCTCCCGACCCCCTCCGGCACCGGGACTCCGGGGAGGCTGCGCCCGCGGCAAGATTCCCGCCCCTCGGAGATGTTGCAGGGACCGGCGGGGCGGGGCCGGGCCGTTGCTAGGGGAGGGGCGGCCGGGCGTGCGAGGAACCCAGCGGGCGACCGCGACGCACACTAGGTTCTCCGGCTCCAGCTCCTGCGCCGCCTGTTGCTCGCTCCTCCGGGCGGCCGCTTCCCGCCCGGTGCGCAGGAGTAGGCGGCCCGAGAGCGCACAGGGAGCCTCCCGCTTTCGTCCCCTCCCCGCACTGCACGAGCGGATCGGAGGGGCCCCGAGTGTCCCTGAGAGCGCGGACGCGGGCGAGCAGCCCAGTGCACCCGGGACTGCGCGCCGAGACCCCCGGCGCCGCGCCGCGATGAATGCGACCTTCCTGAATCACAGCGGCTTGGAGGAGGTGGGCGGCGTGGGAGGCGGCGCCGGGGCAGCCCTGGGGAACCGCACCCACGGGCTGGGCACGTGGCTGGGCTGCTGTCCCGGGGGCGCACCGCTGGCCGCCAGCGATGGAGTCCCCGCGGGGCTGGCGCCAGACGAGCGCAGCCTGTGGGTGTCACGGGTGGCGCAGATCGCCGTGCTCTGCGTGCTGTCGCTTACCGTGGTCTTCGGCGTCTTCTTCCTGGGCTGCAACCTGCTCATCAAGTCCGAGAGCATGATCAACTTTCTGGTGCAGGAGCGCCGGCCCTCCAAGGACGTGGGTGCCGCCATCCTGGGGCTGTACTGAGCGCCATCTGGGCCCGCCCTCGCCAGCGCTGCTGCAAGAAGGACCCCGGAGACCCGGACCCTCGCCCGGTTCTCTCTGCGCTCTGCCGCTGCCTCCGGGCTGGCAGCTACGTGCCTGGGGCGCCAGGGCGGGGACGCGGCGAGACTCTCGGCGGGGGCGCGGGAAGGGACTTGGACGCCTGGCTCCGTCCTGTGTGCGCTGCAGCGTTGCGGGTGGGAGAGTGGGGGATGAGGGTTCTTACCAGTTTTTGTTGTTGTTGTTGTTTGTTTTTTAAGACGTTCGGGGCAGGGTGGGAGTGGGTGTGGGGATGCAATTTGGGACTGCGGTCGCTCGCGTGGGAGTTTTGTGTGTACGTTGGTGCGGGTGGTTTCGGAGCAGGGTGCAGGGAGAGTGGGTGAAGATGTGAAGCGTCAGAGTCGCTAAGCTTGTTGGCCTGATTTTGCGTTTGGAAAGAAATCTTGTAATAAAACTGCAGCCGTAGGGCTTCAGGCAGCTTCCCCCCCGCGCCTGTGGGGTGTGTGTGTGTTGCGGGGCCGAGGGCATGTACCCTCCTGGCGGACCCTTTGAGCCCCTTGGGAGATATCTAGTCCCTGCGTGGACGCCTGACTGGGGAGCCCACAGGGCAGGTCAGGGGATCCTGGGGCTCCACGCCGAGGCCAGAGCGAGGAAAGGGAAAGGGAATCGTTTTCTAAGGCCAACAGCGGAGAAGGCAGGTCCTGTGGGACAGCCAGACAGCTGGTGAGATTAATTAAATCACTGGATATATGAGTCTTCTATGAGATGAAACAAAATCAGTCAGCTGAGTCCAAAACGGAGAAAACGTGAACAAGGAAAACTCAGTTTGGCAGAGGGGAAAAACTAGATCTAATTAAAAGTTTAATTATAAGACCAAAAGCCCCTTCTAAGTGCTTGCTTTGTCCCTACCCTTATAGCGGGCAGGTGAGTAGACGGAAGAAACCCCCTTGTTGCATCCTGTACGGGTGGGGGTTGGCAGCTTTGTGGTGAGGAAGTCCCAGAATGTTTATTATGAAATGGAGAAAATGGCCTCCAAGCGCAGTTGCCTGCAGGGGACTTGGAGCCTCCCATTACAGGATGCCCCAGCTGCCCACAAACCCACGCCTCCTGCAGGTGCTAACTTCCCTTGCAGCAGCGTGGAGCAGCAAGAATTGACTACTCCCTGGCAGACAGGGAGAGGACAGCTCTGCTCTCTGGAAGTGGTGGACAGGGGGACCTAGGGACACCGCAGGAGAGAAGGCTGGGCTTTCTGGCCTATGTATCCCCTACCACCCTTTGTCCTAGTGCCAACCCCACTCAAGCGGTTCTTGGAAGACTCGGGGAGAGACTCTGGATTTCTCCCTTTCTTCTCTCTTTCGCTGTGGGTGGGAGTGAAGAATAACAAGGACGAAGGTGACTGACGTCTTAGCTGGTTTTAGCTAAGAGAAGCAAAGGGAATGCCATCTCGTGTCTTTGGCACTAGTTTAATTAGGGAGAGGCTTAGCACAGGTGGGGTGGGGGAGTATCTCCAAGGCACAGATGGTCCCTGGCTATGAAGGATCCAGAGTCATCCTGGCTCCCAAGTGCTCCTGTGCAGTCAGAATCATCATGATCAGGATGTGCCCTGTCCCCGGACCCTGGGACCAAATCTCAGACCTGGGAGAATTCAGGCCAGGCTAGGCCAGTAAGGCCAGGAGCTGAGATTCCTTGTAAAGTGTCTCTGGGGGCAAAACCCTGAATGCGGAGAATGTTCTTTTTTTTTTTTTTTTTTTTTTGAGACGGAGTCTCGCTCTGTCGCCCAGGCTGGAGTGCAGTGGCGCTATCTCGGCTCACTGCAAGCTCCGCCTCCCGGGTTTACGCCATTCTCCTGCCTCAGCCTCCCGAGTAGCTGGGACTACAGGCGCCCGCCACCTCGCCCGGCTAATTTTTTTGTATTTTTAGTAGAGACGGGGTTTCATTGTGTTAGCCAGGATGGTCTCGATCTCCTGACCTCGTGATCCGCCCGTCTCGGCCTCCCAAAGTGCTGGGATTACAGGCTTGAGCCACCGCGCCCGGCCGAGAATGTTCTATTGATGGTTTGGTGTGACTTGCAGGAAGTCCAGCCTGATCTGGGGACAGCAGCCTTCACTGACTCAGGCAACCTAGGTAAGTGGCTTCGTCGTGTAAGGTGGTACAGTTATCTGGAGCCTGGGCTGCCCCCAGTGGCTTGAGGAATGCAGCTCAGACAGCTACAGGCATTCACGTAAAACCCTGAATGACCAGAAAATGGTTTCAGAAAGAACACAGGCTTAGACACTTTTCCACCGGGCCAAGTTAGAGCAAACATTACGAGAATTCTCCTCTAATAAAATGGGTCTGCTACTAAATGTGACTGGGGTGAGAAGACAGTGAGTCAAGAGTTAATTTTTTTTTTTTTTTTTTTTTTGAGACAGAGTCTTGCTCTGTTGCCCAGGCTGGAGTGCAGTGGCACAATCTCGGCTCACTGAAACCCCTGCCTCCCAGATTCAAGCGATTCTCCTGCCTCAGCCTTCTGAGCAGCTGGGATTACGGGCTTGCACCACCATGCCTGGCTAATTTATTTTTAATTATTTTTAGTAGAGACTGGGTTTCACCATGTTGGCCAGGCTGGTGTCAAACTCCTGACCTCAGGTGATCCACCCGTCTCTGTCTCCCAAAGTGCTGATATTACAGGTGTGAGCCACTGCGCCTGGCCAAATTTCTTTTTTAAAAACTTTTATCGCTAGGCGTAGTGGCTCACGCCTGTAATCCCAACACTTTGGGAGGCCAAGGCAGGTGGATCACGAGGTCAGGAGATCGAGACTATCCTGGCTAACACGGTGAAACCCTGTCTCTACTAAAAATACAAAAACTTAGCCGTGCGTGGTGGCGGGTGCCTGTAATCCCAGCTCTCAGGAGGCGGAGGCAGGAGAATGGTGTGAACCCAGGAGGCGGAGCTTGCAGTGAGCCGAGATCATGCCACTGCGCTCCAGCCTGGGTGACAGAGCGAGACTCCATCTCAAAAAAAAAAAAAAAAACTTTTATCATTTTTTCTTTCTTTTCTTTTCCCCTTCCTCCCTCCCTCCCTCTTCCTTCTTTTCTTTTTTCTTTCTTTCTTTACCTTTCCTCTTTCTCTTTCTTTCTCTTTCTCTCTCTCCTTCCTTCCTTCTTTCCCTTTCTTTCTCTTTCTTTTTCTTTCTTTCTTTCTCTTTCTTTTTCTTTTCTTTCTTTCCTTCCTTCCTTCCTTCCTTCCTTCCTTCCTTCCTTCCTTCCTTCCTTCCTTCCTTCCTTCCTTCCTTCCTTCCTTCCTTCCTTCCTTCCTTCCTTCCTTTCTTTCTTTGTTCCTTGACAAAGCAAGGTTAACTGTTCTGAATTTGCTGAAAAGGAAAGCCTTAGTGGGGACACTTTGCAGGATTTTCCCACTGTTAAAAAAAAAAGTGAAGATGCGTGTGTACTAACGTGTGTTTGGGTTCCCTGTGGTGTACCAGTCTGCACACGTGGGCACATGGCATGAGTGTATGCTCACACATGCAGTTACACGCACAGGCACAGGCAGGCTCGTGCCTCAGGAGGAAAACAGCCAGCAAGAGTGGCGTCCTGAGAAGGGGTGAGGGTGAGAGGTCACATTTGTAGACCATCTTAGTTCTCCCCAGGAGTCCTAAGGCCTGCAGGGTGTTTACTGGGCTGCCTTATATAATCCTTGGGGTGGCGGGCGGGAACTCTTACATAAGGTAAGAGTGAATGAGGAACAGTGCTCTGGGGCAGAGCCAGACAGAGCAGAATCCTGAGCCATCCGAGTGGAGGATAAAGAAGGGGCCTGGTTCTAGAAAGCCCCACTCACCCACAACTGCTGTCCATTGAGAGCTTTTCCCAGGATGCACCGGTAAATCTCACAGGGCCTTGGGTTCACAAGAGAGAAGGCCTGGGATCCTGGTCTTCAAAATCCTGGCTGCCCTGCTTCCTAGCTCTGTAACTTTGGGGAAGTAGCTCAACCTCTCTGTGCCTCATTTTCCTCACCTACAAAATAGGAGCAATAGGGGACCCATAGCTTTCACGACGTGATGTGTTTTAAGAAGCCAGCCTAATGCCTGGCATTTAATAGACGCTCAATAAGGGCAATGAGGATTATTGTTAGTTTTGTTTATCATATGAACTCTTTCCCTAAAGTACATTTGGTTCTCTGAAATGGATTCCCTGGACAAAAAAAAAAAGAAAAGAGCAATTCATATTTGAAAAGCATTTGCAATTTTCAAAGTACTTTCATAAGCATGATGAAAATAGTAGCGAATGCCTAATATGCCAAACACTGAGCTTCCACCCCCATGAAGGTTTTGCAACTGGTCCCATTGTACAGATGAGGAAACTGAGGCTCCAAGAGGTTGCAGCTGCCTGAGGTGGTGCAACTAGAAAGGGGCAGAGCTGGGATTCAAATCAGTTTCACTTGAGCTGACCTCCTTTGCTCCCCACAACACATTGGTAAGAAGAGCAGATGCTCCTCTAATTTCCTGTTTTAGAGGAGAGGAAATTAACGTTCTGTTTACTGATCTTGTCCAAGCTCATTCATTCCACAGGTGTCTATTGTGAATCTCCTGTGGGCTAGGCACTGTGCCAGGCACTGGGGGAGCAAGGGGTGGCAGACCTAGAGTCTGGCCCTGGCCTGCAGCCCCAGAACCCCTGGCACTTGCTTTGCTCCCCAGGTAGCTGGTTCCATGTGTCTCAGGGTCTAGGTCAAACCCTCCACATCCTGTCCTCTGAGTCGGGGACAGTACTTCTGGGGTCAGCTGTGCCTTTACTAGCAAGATGTCCCCTAGAACGGGGGAAGTAGGGAGGGCTTACGTCACCACATCCACTTACTTTCCCACTTGCTTGTCTAAGCCAAGTTCACACAGAGGGGTGCACAGCTGTGGCTGCTGGAGGTCACCCTCCCCAGACCCCAACTCAGTAGTAGATGGAAAGAAGCCTTGAGTATTGGGGGTGGCTTCAGAGGGAAAGAACTGAGCGTGCGAGGTGGTGGGTACAGCAGAAATGGCCCTCATCCAGCATTCCAGTTTTGCGGAAAAGGTAAACATGTACACATATGTTGCACGCATGCACACACATTTAATAAAAAGGACTTAAGTGGGATTTCTGAGTAGCACGTCTTGAGTGCAGATTCGTGTCAAGAAAGCAAGATTCTTTCTTGTCAGTAAAGATCACAGCAGATACATAGGGTGTCCAGGAC